CCAAAATACTGAGAAACGCTTGCCAGCTTCTGTTCGCAGACTCAAGGAATAGTATAGTAGAAAGCGGGGCCCTGGAAACGAGACATTGAAAAAACGAAAGGAACAGAGAGCATTTTATAACCGGTTCCAGCCTTTGGCTGGCCCCGGTAATTATCAATATTTTTTTTCGAAACTACAACTAATGGAAACAAAATGTGGAAAAGGCTTTCTATACCCGTTTACAATTCTGTCACTAACGTGAGATTCTCTCAGGAGTCAAGAGAGTCGTTGAACTTTCCAGAAAGATACAAAAATTGGATCAATCGTAAGAATTCCATCATCCTTCATCATTTTGTTACCCATTGCCATTTCACAGAATCAAGGCTTAACTTTCGGCCTTGATGCCGGGCCAAGCATTTCAGGACCTCGCCGTCTTCTTTTTGTGATTTTTCTTTCGTCCCTTTTGCCATTCAGCCGCCGTCATTTGTCCTTTGTTCTTATTTTTCTGCTTTGACTTTCGAGCATCATGTTGTTTATCTCGCTTTTTGTCACTTGCTTCTTTTTCATTACTAGCGGGAAAACTTTCCTCAGAAGATTTGCTGTTAATGGTTTCTCCACGATCTGAGGTTGTTGCCTCGTTGCTAAAATTACGTCTTCTCGAATATTCTCGTTCGTGCAAGTCTCCGCTGGGTCCTAGGTCCGACGCGTTGCGTGGATTTTTTTTACGCTGCTTTTCCTTCTTTGACGATTTAGTGGAAGTATCGTGTGCACTGGGTACTCTTTCATCCTGAAACCGAGAATGATGCCATCGTGCGAAAGATTCATGAGACCTTGGGCGGTTAAATAAAGGCCCTCCAAACGGGAAGTGAACTCCCTCGAGGCCTATGTCGTCGTCAAATATACCTCCAAACATTCTCATTATCATCTCCTCTCTCATCCTCCTTCGCATCATTTCCCGGAAGAATATGAAGTTGAAGAAATCATCACATCCACTGAAATTTTCCTCATCAGTGGACTCTGTTCTCGAACTTGAATTAATTCTCTCGTATCCTTCACTAAGCGCCTGAAATTTCTCTGTGGCTTGTGGATCATCAGGATTCTTGTCCGGATGGCATTCTTTCGCCTTCTTTATGTACGCTTTTCGCACTTCTTCTTCGGTAGCGTCAGTTGGAAGCCCAAGAAGATCGTAGCTCTCTTTTAGATTTGTTGCCATGTTTATATGCCTTGTTTTTAAAGTTGAATCACGACAACAGGAAGAACTGATGGATTCTCGTTTTGTTGTTTTTTTCCGTTCTGATCGATGAGCTAATTATTTCAGCCAATCAGAACGTTTAACAGGAGCGGATGTGACGTTTCTAGAATTCTCGGAAATGTTATGATTTTCTTAGAACTAGCTGTAATAACCACCTCATGCAAATTTTTTTGAAGGCAAGTTTAAATTTCGGTGAATTAATGTACAGTATAAGGAAATAAGTGGTTCGGTTCTTTGGTTTGTCTCTTGACGTTAATCAAATTTATTTGAGAAAATTTGGTTTTATTAACTCAGTTGATAATAATGTAAACTGGTCATCGTAATAAGTTTCTAAAGCTGACGTTTCGAGTGTTAGTTCACCGACGCAGCGCCACAGTTTCTTTATAAACTCGCACCCTTTATTCCTTTACCTTAGAAAAAGCCAAGATCACTGGGGCTGGGAGAAGTGTCCCATTATTCCATCTCCCACGTAACAAAAACTCCATAGTATGTCAAACAATTGGTGCTCAACCCAAAAATGTGAAATTGCAACAATATTCTGACTCTGACTTGAAGAGGAGTCAAAAGACAGAGTTGTTGCAAAATTGATCAAAATTAACTTAGTATAGAGTGTGCAGTAATGCAATTTCCAAAAAAGCAAACCATTTTCATATGCACGAACATTGTTCCTGGACAAAGAGAGACACTTCGTTTTACCCTCGAGAAGGGATTTGAGGATCAAATTAAGGTAGATTTTTTCCCTAAGAATCGTTTCGAACCGGAACTGATATTTTTAACCCCTTGTTTCTCTGGGCTAATGCCCACACGTGACTTGCTTCAAGTCGAGGACGTGAAAAGCATTCAAATGTAAAAGGTTTTTGAACTAACAAGCCGTAAATCAGTATATCTCCTCCGTAGCTAATGAAGTCTAAATAGTAGCTAGGCATAATCTTGTACCAACAACCAAATACACCACTACATGTAAATTTTCGTACAAAAGTATTTGCGCTTTATTGCCAAAGCAAAGCGTAGCATACAGATGTCTGCCAATTGCAAACAGCGACAAAATGTAACCATTTCCCAACATTAATTCAGAATATCTCCGAACATCATGATTTTCACTGAAAATCGACTGTTAGGAGTGTTTTCTTCTCTTGGAATCCCATTATGTGTAATGTTATCAGGTAGAAAACTGTTTAAGAATAAGTTGAACAATTATCGATACTTATACTACTGTTTGTTTTTACCACTAGTCACAAATCAAATAAGTCTAAAAAATTAGGGCGTGTCACTTCCTGAAAGTTTAGGTCGCAGATCTCTCCACGCGACCATTTTCATGTCACGTGACTGAGCCACGTCCGCCAGCTGCAGTATGTGTTCACCAATCGCTTTCTCCTTTCCGAGTTTGTCGTGTCCATAAAGCCTGATTCTTATGGCCATTCTAAATAAGTCTTGCTGTAAAACTCGATCAAATACAAATTTCTCGTCGAATTTTGGATGCCTCGTTGGTCGTGACTTACTCTTGAAGCGTTGTCGTCTTGATGGGAGCAATAGAAGATGGAAGCGGCAATGTGAACTGCCTCCTCGACTCTTAGAGGGAAGTTCTCGAGCCTCTAAGATCGTGATGGCTACACGCCCCACATTAATTGAGTACTCAACTTGGAAATGAACGCTTCCAAAAACTGGGACCTGGTCGACTTCTTTTAGTCCCGTATCTACTTGGATGTCTCCGTATGCAGAGACAGTCTTTTGCACATCGTCCCCGCCAGCATTCATTTCAAAGGTTGGCAACTTCTCTGGGGAATCCTCCCCGGGAGGGACTCCATCTTTTTCTTCCTCGTGGCCTTCTTCCTCTTCAGAAGTGTCTGCTGGTTCCTCTCCTAGTTCCTCGTATCCAGCGCCCTTGATTTTCTGGGGAGGTTCCATCTTGGAGCAGGGACACATCTCTTTATTCAGGCAATAGTATGTAGCCAAAAGGCCGATTAAAATGATCACGATAAACACCAGGAAGATGACAGCTGGAACATACCCTAGAAGCAAGAAAAATCTTAACGTCACTGTCAACAAGTAAAATTAACCTTTTTTATTTCCTTTTTGTTTTTTAGTTTTTGGTGAACAATCAAGGACTTGGGCAACACGGTAACCAAATCGGTGCTTTATCATATGGGTCATTTATTCAAAGCCCTTACTCGAACAATGAAAAGATCCTCCATTTCCACCAAATAGGTAGATATGGCAACTTGAAAAGAGCAAAGAAATTCGATTAACGAATTATTACGATTTGTCAATCTGCCAATATATCGACTGACAGTTCGTACCGTAATGACGTCATATAAACGATCATGGCTCTTCATGTTAAAAGGTCTCGTAAGGCTACTTTGAAATTGAGATATGATGGAGCACAATGGAGGAAAAATAAAGCTTTTATTTCTAAACAAGACAAATGCCATGTATTGGCAAAATAGTTTTCTTCTGAAGCCGTGTTAACGTCCGCCCTTTAGTTGTAATTAACGGCAGTTTAAATCGATAAAAACAGTTCTCATTTATGATGACCAACACCGGACTGGTGATATTTGAAGGTGATAATAAACGAATACTTCCCATGGAAAAATCAAAAATTTTACGACATGTAGGCTGGAGATAAGATATTGTTTCCGTGCGGCGGCCACTGACGAGTCTGATATGTCTAAGAGCAGCCTGTTTTTATCAACTGCAACCATCATTATCTTTATCAGATCAATACATTCAGAAGCGTTACATCTTAATAGCAATATCTTGATAAAACAATGACTAACATCATTTACAGCTCCAATCTGCTTTAAATCAAAGCACCCTCGCTTACCGGACGGAATGAAGCCCCACATCATTGGTTCGCCACCCGCCGGTGTTGTGTTAATATCCGTTTCTAACTGCTTGCCTCAAGTGAATCAATGTTCAATATTCATTTGATCATAACATATATTAAAGCTGATGATAAAAGCTCCACGTATTTCTACTAGATTATCAGCGACTGAAGTGCGTTTCTCCAGTTGCAATCACTATTCTATAATGTATGGATGCTTAAAATCCCCATTCTGTTTCTGTGGCAACAGGAATTGTCGAATTTCAAAGTTTACTTATTGATACATTTGCTTGCTAAACGTAGCTAGTTTTAATGAAGCCTACAATTGGACCTGTATTAATTGTTTGGTGCCATTTTTTATTTACCATTTTTTTCGGTTACACTGTCTCACGACGTTGACGAATTGCTATTAAAATCGTCTATGAAAGCTAAAGCAAGTGCCAGTCTGATCACTGTGGCCGGTGTGCATTTGTAGCAGGCACTCAGCAATCGGTAAGGATTTAAAAACGAAAGAAGAAGTTTGATCGGCGCTACTTTTTTGCTTAGTCTATGTGAAGTGCGAGGTTGTCAGTTGGTCAGGCTCATTGTTTTCAATAAAACAACGGTTTTCAATTACTCGAGTGAAGTCTCGTAAGTTTGAAAAATAATTTATAACTTTTGAGTTCGTCCTGCATGAGATGAATGATCTAATTGAAACACGGAAGCATAACTTATGGGTTCAGTGTCAGCTGATCGAGATGGTTCTGTTTTGCCCTCATCACTCCGTTTAACTACTGAAGTGTGACTAAATTTCCTATAATATTCAAATCGTACTATTTTAGGGTGAATTGGCATATCACCAACATCACATTCTTCTAACGGGTGCAAAAAACTATACAAAATATCGATATTAGTTTCCAAACACTCGTCAGTAATCTCAGTGAAAGGTGTCATATCATTGGTTTGCTTCTGGACTTTGCAGTATTCGCAAAAAGTAACGGTTACAACGGGTCGTTAAACAGTTGGGAAATCGCGGTTTTTATTTAAGCGCGCGCGCTAAAATATACCTAAAAGGCTAATTGCAACCGTGAATACCTTTTTTTTTTCATAATCACTCAGCGAGGAACGCTTAGAAACCAGATATGATAAAAACTAGAGGTATATTGATTGATGTCGCTCATAAGTTTTATGAAGTAGTTTAAGTTTATCAAAGAAAGCTTCTCAAAGATTAAGCAGAATGAATTGATCGACGTCTCGCTGTCCGGTTGACTGACTTGCAAAGAATTTACACAACAAAGAACGACAGCAAGATTATTCTAAGCCACTACTTCGATTAAAGTCTCGTATCTTCTTCGCTTTTTGAGTCAGAATAAAGCACTCTTCTCGGGAAATGAAGCAATTTACAAAAAGTGAGATGATTTTGTTATCCAAGAACATTTGATTTCCTCCATTCATTAACTAATCAGTGTACGAATCGTCTCAATTCTTAGACTTCTGTTCAAAAGCATCAGCAATCAAGTCAATCAACTGCATCGAGCCAGTTCTGTTCTATTCTATTCTATTCTAAAAACCTGGGCTTTCCTTACTACCTACACCGAACCAAATTTTGCAGATTATCAAGTATAATTCAACATTAAAAGTCTCAACCCATTTTACATCACTTAGATGATTCACATTCAACAGGTTCTGATTTTGTTCACTTTTAAGCGGGCGTAGAATGCACGAAAGGATATTCTCTGATTACAAGTTAAATTCGAACTTTCTAACTGCTTGACTCTCACAAATTTTCACCAACTACGGACTGGATCTACTTCTTTATACAAGTCGGTACTACATCATTATAAATGAATTAGAAATGTACTCAGTTACTTTAACAAACTTTCCTCAAAGCTACAAAGTTCTACCGCCGTTACTGACTCAAACAATATTACGGCGATCCATCCCTACAGTAAAATAGCATTCGATACGGACCATGAAACTGTTATTCCCTGCTCTGAAATAGTATGTAGTTAAAACTCACTCGCTTGCGCGCTGGTTGAGAGAACATAAAACCATACAAAATAGTATGCTACGTTCGTGTTGTTTGTTGTCGATTTAGTTGAATTATTTTTGACCGTGCACACTACGACTCTAAGATGACACGAAAAGCGTCATTGGAATAACCCTCTCATACTTAAGAATCCTTCTGTTTGACTTCAGGAAGGAATAAGGGAAAATGACGAAAAAAGCTGAACTTACAATCCATTTTTGGTCAGTCTTCGTCGAAGATGAAGATAGAGCTTTTACGCCCCCACAGGCAAATAATTCCAACACATGCTGGCTAAATGAGGAAATGTCCTGACTTCAGCATACTCTATAAGACGAAGATATCTTTCTGCCTGATTCCCTACAGCCAAGACAGGAGCGAATTATGAAAAGAAAAGTTAAACTCCCAGCTTAACAATGACTCTAGGCGACGGATCTTTTAACGTTGGAATGGAATTTCAATCATCAAATGTTTTTACGCGACCAAGATTCTCTTGAATATAAATTTTGCATTAATCAACATATTTTATGTTAGTTGTGTAAACTATTTACATACCAAAGGAGCCGATATCTCTGGGGACTTGGACATCCCTCATGACCCACTTTGTAATCCGTTCCGATGGGGTGTACTTTTACGAGCTGTGTTGGTAATATGCTTACAGACTTGGTCCTTTTCAAGAGAATTACGAGTGCTTATCAGCGTATTTGTGTCTTCAATGATAGAGAGGTAGCCAGAATATACCTTCAAGCTACATATTACTAGTGAATTTACTAATTTTGAATGATGTATGCCCACTGACACTAGGTCTGGGAACTGGCGCGGACAATGTCAATCAGTTTTGGTCTGAAAGAGGTTCAGGGTTTGGAGAACCAGATGGTACACCTAAGCCAAAAATTCTAGAAAGGACTCCCGTCGAACAAAGAGTAAAATTCCGCCTTAAATGCTTCTTGTGAGCTGAAATGTCGTTTTTAGCACATTTTTTGGCTAACGTTTAAGACTCTGCTGGCTATTACACAGTTCTCCTTGAAACGTCAGGGGTGTGAAAATCAATCAAGCGATATTTTTTTTTTACTCAGTTAAATAATTGGCCAGCTTTTATATATTAAGTATCATCGGAAGGTAGGTAACCGGTCAAGTCGCCTGGAAGTCATCTCGCCAGGAACCTGAGTCATGTCACCCGAAATTTTAGTTGTTTCGCCTGAAAAAATAAATACGTAAAAGATCAGACTCACAGGCTGTAAATAAGCAATAAGTGGTACCGTTAAGTCCTTCTCTTACGGTTGAATAAACAAACGGTGTTTTTATTGGCTAGTTATTTCCGTTGAACGTTTGAATCAGGTAGCATTCACAGTGACATTTCATTATTGACGGAAGGATTGGTAACATAATTGTATACACCAAAAGGGTATTTCGATCTATCGGTACCTTCAGAGGTTTCTTAAACTAAGCCACTTTGATGATTTTTCAATTGATAAAAAAAATCGGGCAACTTTACCTTTTATTTCGGGTGATATGACTAACATTCCGGGCCACATGACTCAGGTTCGGGGCGATATGACTCCGGGCGAGATGACTTTCGGGTGACTCGAAAGGTTACCTGACAGGCTCCTCACATAAGCAAACCATCTCCAACCTGTCTGTCTTCTCTTGTCGCTGTCGAATTTTACCAAAGTATTTAAGCCACTGGTTCCTAGTCGCTAGTCGGGGCTTGAGTTTTTGTTTCGAGCGACATGACTAAAAATTTCGGACGACATGTCGCAGGTGCCGAGCGACATGACTTTGGCGACTCGATCGGTTACCAGTGAGAGAGAACCACAGTTCCCAGGCCTACCTAAAATTAACAAGTAGAAAATCACGGTTGGGACTGGGTCTTAAAAAAGCTTCACTATGGCGATGCGAGTCAGCTATATTTTCGCTTCTTCAATGAAAATAGAAAAACTTGTTGTAAGGGCTGTATATGTGTCAGATGCTAGTGTGTGATGTCGCAAAAAGGTTATGGAACGTTTCTAGATAGTCTATACGCGGAAAGAACAGAGCTGACGTCGGTGGGTGAAACAGCTTCAAGTAGAGTGGATGAGGTAGGACATTGTCTTGAAGCAGACCTCTTTATTATGTAGCAGAGAGACTAGTATTCAAGATCCTTATCTCGAAATGAAGTATTCTTCTTGATGATTAGGGGGTTTTTTTAATCACTAAGGTATGATAATTGTCATAGTACAGCTAGTTAATATATTCCCTATTGAGACGTCCTTAGTGATCAGCTGACATAATATTCATGTAAGCATGTGACTTTCAGTTCCTCTTTACGACACTATGTAGATGTTCACTAGATTGACATTTGAGGTATTCGAATCACAGAAGAAGCTCTCTCTGTTCTACTCTAGGAAAAACTATTTTATGATAGGTAGATATTCTTTTTCTTGTGAAAACATCACTCCCAGGTATCATTAATTCAGATAACTTGACTAATGCCTCATTCAGCGTCCATTCACTCCTTCACACCATCTATTGTTGTATTAGTGATGTTTTATGATGATAACTCAGGCCTTGACTGTAATTTAATTTATTTTACAGGCATTTCATGTACTGCTGATTAGACATGACATCTAAGTATTGTAATGATTGAGAATGCTTGATCTCTTTACAGATAAATGCCAGTGTTATGCTGTCTCACGACCCAATTCTTCAGAGACAAGATGCAGCAACACAAAAGAGACTTCCTCTTCTATTTTATGTCTTTTTCCACTGGAAATCATGCACTGGTGTGGCTTGTATCTTAATCTGTCTAAATTTGAGTATCATTGGATTGTTTTCTTTATCACTCCCGTCTTATCCAAGGTCTACTGAGAGTGAGTGGCATGATGTAGCACAATACCTTTTCTCTTGTGGCACATTTGGTTTTACAGGAGGCTGTATCAATTATGTGGCAGTGATTCTATTTTTTAAGAAAGTTCCAGGTATCCTTGGAAGTGGGTAAGATTCAGTTATTTGAAATGCATACAAACATAATAGCACTATGGCAACTTTGAGCCTAAAATTTGACAGTTTTTTCTCTTGTTAGCAACTGTACTAGTTATATATGTTAGAGACTGATACAAACTATGGTCAGTTACTACAGGAAACTAGTTTTTGTTAATTAATTTGTGTTTTTTATTGTTTATCTTTTTATTTTCAACAAAAACGAATTCAAATGAGTGCAGTTGGGGTGATATTTAATGTTACTGTCTGGCTCTGATCTTGCATTTTTTTTCACCTTTTAGGTGATTAGTTGAATTAGTCGATCTCAGTTGAATCTTCTTATTTACAAATTGATTTGTTTGAGGTACTTTGTGTGGACTATTCCTAATTAATACATCATGGTCTGGCCTTGATCAGTCCATAAATGGACCAAAGCTTTGTGGGAACCCTATTTTTCCCAATTTCTGGTAGAGAATTATAATTCATTCAAGTTATAAGTGGCAACAACCTCCAAAATTGGTATCATTTCATATGAGAAGAAACCGTTTTCATCTTTAAATTTGTTGATTCCGGAGGGTGAGTGTCAATTTTCCAAATCCAGCCTCACATTGTGGCATTACCTCGAGTATTCTAAGGTGCCACCATTCTGGTGATAAGGGTGAGTGAAAAAAATTTTGGCTGCCAAATTTGTAGCTTAAATTGCCTATTTGGCAACCAGTGTTTGGCAGATGTGTGACAAGCTGAAAACTTTTTATTACTTCTGGTCTTAATTAAAACTATGTGCCCTGTACCTACACATAGTTTCCAGTTTCTCATTTTGCTAAGATTCCCTTTTGCAGTAACAATCAAATTGAATATCTTTGTGAGCAACAAGTCTCATGTTGAATGTGTAACTTAAAAAGCAATTTTGTGTATACCTTGAAAATCAATACATCTCATTCAAATCAATCTTTTGTTGTACAAGGCATCATGTTCTGAACATTTGCATAATTTATCTACGACTCCCTTATAGTTCTTCAGGGAATGACAGAAAATCTTTTTCCTCTCATCAGGATTGTTTTTCATCACTATCAAGTTATTTTTGAAAGTGTGAAGAGTTCAGTCATCAACACCTATTTTGAGAGGACATTTCTTGAATTATACAGTGCCCAAAAACTAAATCAACAAATAATTCGTCTAAACATTGAAGGGCAGCTACAGAGAATTTTACAGTCAGAGACAGTTGATCACCTTATTACCACAGAGCTTCATTCTTTATTGATCTCCTCAGAAGGGCAGCTTTTATCTGGAGCTGGTATAAATCCTTCTTTGCTCTGCCCACTAGTGAAGCCATATGTGGTAGAACTTTTAACTGAAGTAGTTCCACTTATAATGGATAGATGTTCATCCTTTATTCAGGTAGGTGCATTTGTCAATAATGCCTTTTAAATGGCTCTGTGATCCACTGGTATGCAAAAGGCTTGTTGGGGTCACAGTAAAGTAGCTTGAAATTTTTTTTTTTTTTTGGCAAGAGAAATCTGCCTCGTCTGATTTTAGTTTTGCACAATTTTTTCTGTTGGGTTTTGCTAACGGTGACAATAAATCTTTCACCTTTCCATGCGCAAACTATTTATTTTCATATATTGTTGAAATCAGCTTGAACAATGCATTTCTATGGTTCTTTGCTGCCATAGGTTTGTTACCTTAATCCTAATTTTCTATGCCCAAGGGCTTCTCTTGTCTAACAGAATTAAAATCTCCTCATGAAAATTAATGTTTTGACACAATTACTTCCTTGTCATCAGGATGAAGGTTTACAAAGTCTGAGACAAGAGGTCCAGAGGTACACAACAAGAACACAAAATAAAATTTCTTCACGAAAAGTAGGGCTTTTAATAAGAGATATGATGTATGGCCATTTAAATCTCCTTACTGTCTTGGGATGTGCTGCTGGAATATTTCTAGGTGTAATGTCAAAAATAACAGGAGTCGGCCAAGTACTATGAGATTGAAAATACTGTTCAAAACTCTCTCAATAGTGACAAGTGTTGATGCTGTTTTCTGAAGAACTAGCCTTGGCTTTAAACTGTTGAACATAGAGCAACAGAATTACTCATAGTATCTTTAATTAAGTAAAGATGAGACAGAACTCTTTCATCAAAATCAAAACCAGTAATTTATATTACTTCAATTGTAATTTTTTTTAATATGGAATAATGGCACAAATTATCCTAGAGGAAATCAAGTCTGGCCCTTATCCCAATATGACTACAATATATTAAGTAAAAGAGAAGGACATTTATCTGTTGTTTTTTTGGCAATCACGTACCTGTGATTTGTTTTTGGGATGAACCAGTTAATTTATATTTCTTGTTTGATTACTTTCTGATTGATTGAACTGGTTATGAAGTTGCTGTTGGAACCTTTTTATTGTGTTTTTTCCAAACAGAATTTAGTTTGAAATAAATTTTTTTTTGGAAAAAAAGCAAAATGTTGAAGAATGAAAAGTTTTGCGAAAGTATCAAGTCAATAGGTGAAGATAGATAGGACAGTGGAGAATTTGAGAACTTGTAGCTTTGAGTAACTGGCACAAGAACTGCCTCTTTGATTACTCCTGCTGTCCTAACCAGTGTGGATTTCTTGTAACTTAGAGTGGATGGGTTAGTCAATTTTTTTAAAATAAATACACAGACTGAACATGTAAAATGGTCTTGACTTAACTGATCTAGTGCATTTTTACATAGAGTTCAATCTACAAAGGAGATAGTGAATGGCTCTAATCTCTCAGAAATCACAATTGTTGTGAATGCTTTGTGAAATTGTGCCCTGCTACTTAGGACATTTGCCATTTTACCTCTCTCAATGAAAAAAAAAAGAAAAAAAGTGTTATGTACCAAGTGCTTGCACTATATGTCAACCCAATATCTTATGAATGAAGTTTGAGACAAACCTGAGCTACAAGTCAACACAGTGGTGCTGTTTCAATTTTATGTTTTGCCACATAACAACCAACTTGGTGCACAAGTGAATAAAAGGGTAAGTTTCTAAAAAGGCTGTGGTGCTGCATCCGTGGAAGAGTATAACAGGGTAATTTAGGTTTAGTAACGAGTTATAACATAAATTGGCCACCGTAAAAGGGTTTCTAAGCTTACGTTTCAAGTGTAAGCCGTTCGTCAGAGAGAAAGCCCTTATTTCGCTCTTAAGTGTCGTTGAATTCTGTGCATTGTCCTTTAAATATAAAGGTACGTTGAGTACAGTGTACCTTTATGGGCTTGTCTGGCTTTCCTTTTCTCATTAATTCCACTGCACATCCGCCAACATTTCAAATGAAGAATTGTTGTCCTTGTCCCAAGTGCTTGGTCCTGTTTTGCCTCTTTCACTTCCTGTAAAGCAGTTCTCTTTGCTTTTGAAATCTTCGTAAATTGATATCTTTCCAGATAAATCATCAAAACAGGACCCACTTAGTTCTTCACTGGGATTGGTTTCCTCAATTTCAATAAGCGAATGGATTTCAATAAGTGAATGGATATTATCATCATCATCATTATTATTGATATTACCATACCTAAGGCATTTGGTGTCATGAATACTTCCCCACGATTTAATTTGTCTAGATAACCGACTAAATTTTGGAATATCCAACCTACCTCTTCTGTTTCATCTTCAACGACTTTCATATGTGGTACTATCTGGTTCAAAAATATATTAGTAAAACATTCGTAGAGTTGAAGGACTGAATGAAAGACTTTTAATTTTGTCTTTTACCTGGCCTCTGCCGTCATGTTGTTTCACATCCAGTCTGGAGGTCGCAATATTCCACAATCGTTCAATCATAACGTCTTTGAATTCGTTCTCATTTCCTACCTGGAAAATGAAGCTGCTGGAAAAAGCTCATACGAAACAAACCAGCTCAGTTTCAAGGCGAGGTTGAATTGATTATGGATCAATTTAAAAATTCTTCAGTTACAAAGTGCGATACTAAAGCATATAGTCTTTTTTACCTTTAAAAGGTTGAAACAGTTAGCTTTGAAATCCTCGTTCTCACTAACATCAACAACCGTTCTAATGGCGTTTGCAATGTTTGGAATTGCTTTATCGACCAACTTGTGTTTCTGCTTTTACAATAAAGAAACAGAACACTCCAATAAATTCGACTATTAGACAGGACAAATATTTCTCAAATGAAATATAGGAGCGGACTTTTCAGGGCTTTTCAGACTCACCGATTCTTTTCGTTGAAAATTTTCTTTTCTTTGCTTTTCTCTGCAGTGATTTGACCTGCAGTCAGCCATGCTAAAGTCTTAAACGTCAAAGAAGAATTATTTCCTTACTTCGCCTCCGATTGTATTTGGCGGGAACTTAAAAGTACGCGCGTCGGCGTGTAGACCTGCTGCGCACGCGCGCAGGTCGTGGCTTCAAGCAATTACTGCCATTTGCACTTCGCGGCGTGGAAAATGAAATTTTCGGGAAATAAATAAAAGGTTTCGTGTAGAGAAGCTCGTTAAATTAACTCGTCTTTTGATGAAAAGCAAGTCTTGTATACGGCCTTGTATCATCATTCTTATGTCCGGTTGAGTGGTGGAAGCAGAAATTTTATTCAAACAACGATTCTGAAAAATTTCAGGGTCAAGTGTACGAAGCCTGTAGTTCAAGCTCGTGAGTCGGTTCAAACTAAAAGCTTAGAGGGTTTGATGGAGGGGTGTGTGTGATTCTCCTTGCTGTAGATACCTCCTTTTCACCCAGTCTTGGTAACAGGTCGATAGCGTACACCTTTATATCACCTTTTTTTCGCCTTTCAACAATTCCGTATCTACCTTTCAGTACATATCTGCATACTCAAAGAGACATGATATTTCCCTCCATAGCTAGAGACTTCATACAACTAGAATATGCCCATCACTTCCACATTAAGGAAGTCTTTATTCACAATCTTGACAGAATAAATTAGAGAAAGGTACTGTTAAAACACATCAGAAAATAAAAAGCTAAAAAGTGTTACAAACACATTTACTACTTTATCCACTGCCTGATACCAACAAACTAAGCAAGCACTTGGTTCTACAAAATGGAAGCATCGAGTGTAAGAATGCGAAAGAGACATGTTAAAAACGTTTTATCTACTCGTTCTCGCATTTACTCCACAAAGTAATTGTAGTTTATCGAGAAACCAATTTTTTAATTTCAATAACTACAAGTTGCTTAGAATCAATACTCATCAGCCGATTTTTCTTAAAATCGAGTATCCTGTTTGGGCGGACAGAAACATGAGGGGACTCGAAGGATCGTAACAAGAAAACAATAAAAAAGGGACTTAAAACTTATGATGAGCACTAAGTGCCAAAAAAAAAAAGAAAAGAAGAACAAATGCTTTAGAAGACCTTTAGTATATCCAACGAAAAATATGAAACGGGAAAATCGAAGGTAAGAACTGGTTCTTTGTCCTCCAAAGAGAAGAAAAAAAAAGACGTAACTTAAATGGTTAAATCTTATTCATCTGCTTGATAACTGACAAATAAAAACATGTATTAAAGCAGTTAAAAACCGACATAATCAGAGTTGCTAACAATAAAATAACCAAAAATAAACAAAATATACAATTTTTACATACAGAAACATTAATTCAATAAACTTAATTTCCCAAACAACTTGAAAAAGTTTAAATACTATTTCTTTGCTTCATACACTTTTTTTGTGCGTGAAGAAGCCCGTGGTAATTCGAAATGTAAAATAACACACTAAAGGCCTTCATAAATACATCTCCATAATATATGTACCTAACTGATATTTTTTTGCAAGTTATTATAAGACATAATGATTACTTACACACAATCTAAAAGTAACTATTATGAAGAGTGTTTGATTATTGTCACTCCCTCTTTGAGCAGTCCACAATCTCATGACCACTTCCCACAAGGCACAAGATATCTTTCAACACGCAAAACTAAAGTGACCTTTCCAATTCCAAAAATATCATATTCTTGAGATAAAAACAAGACTCACTCTCCACCTCTCAGAAGTAGGCAGACGGTTTTCAAAAGTTAAGCCGCTGCCCTTAAAAATTACTGCGGCAGAGATATTAAGATGAAAAAAAATATTGCACCTGAATTGAAATTAATATTTAGTAATTAGAAAACCACTTGGTAAGGGCCATCTCAAATAAAGTGTTAAGTAGCAGGATGAACTGATTATCAACGAAAATAGGACTGGATTTTGTCGACGACTTCGGAGTTAAAATAAACGCACGTTAATTCAAATACAGGAGTGCATTATAATCAAAACTCTTATTTGGAATACTTTAATATCTCTATATGTCTACAACTGCACATGAAGTTTACATCATTCAAAATGTCCACAGGTTGAGGGCACCAGAGACATTGAAGTATTGTACAAATAAAAAGGTGAGTTTAGCAGGTTTTCATCATCATCATTACATGTGCATGTAAAACAATTATAATGATCAACCGTTATCAACTTATCTTGTTTGATAGTTAAGAATGTTTATTGAAAATCCATATTAAATAAGAGGATCAATATCAGTATCTGGGCAACTGCCCACCTACCCCTCCCCTAATCCAACATTAACCCAAATTTTTTATCAATTAATTGTTGTTGAGTTGGGGGAAGGGTAGGGGGGCAGTTGCCTAAATACTGATATTGATCCTAATAAGATTGCTTGATTTCAAGTCTCATAATTCCTATTGATGTAAATATATCAGGTTTACTTCCCCAGATGGAGGGGGAAAGGGATGAAGGTGGTTGTATCACAATGCTCTATCTGGGGTGTTATAATTTGGATGTCTACACTTACTCATTGGTTCTAAAAAAAGAAAGTTATTCACCAGAGAGAAAACCATGGATGCACTGGTAACAACAACGTCAAAATGATACCAACTTCCACCATGCTCTTAGAGGCTCTACTCACTAATAAGCGACATCTTTGATTTTGTTGGTACAGACACTTCTAAAACGAATTACAAGTTAATGCACTTCGTTGAAATTCTATCATAGAAGAGAGGATGACAAGTAATCAAGGAAAAATACCAACAATGAAATTCCCTTGTTATCTACATTCTACAGGTGGTATGGCTGGAGATGGGACTGCATGTGATGCTGATGATGATGGCATTGACTTATTTACATCCTGAGCCTGTTCAACTCCCACTGCTTCTGAAATACAAACACATATTATAAGGCAAAAAATTGGTCCTGAACCTGAATGCCTGGAATCAACACCAACTGTTGCAAACAGTGAAAAGTGTCAGCACCTTCCATCATGAAGAGGGCCTGGTCAGGATTAAGGGGTTCACAGTTACTATCAAAGATGCAGCTTTTCCCCTGATCAAAGTGCAATTCCCTGATTGGGAAGGAAATTGTTTTCCTTGAATAAGTCCTAATCAGTGGCAACCATGTCACCTTTACTGTCTGTTTACACTCCTACTGCCTCTGCATCACCATTCAGAACCCAAGTAAAATAGGAGCTATGGGGTTGAACATAGGTGCCTTGGAGTAGGAAAGAAGGCCCAGAAACTACAAATCTATTTCTTTTCTCCAGCTCTGCAGCTCCTACCCACACACTTGCTTTAGACAGACATAAGCCTTTTTTCGTAGGTATGACATCATAACTACTCCTACACAACAGATGTTGTTGGTGTAGATTCCAATATAGCCTGCTGAAATTGGCTGCATTTTTTGCCTATGTTTTGCAGAGGTTAGATGCTGGCAATGATGCAAAAGAACTGGTCACAAATAGAGAGGATGAGTGGGACTCACTCATGCTACACAAGTCTAATATGAGTTCTTACCTCAGTTATTTTTCAGAGTAACTCGATTTAGCCCCACACCCCACCCTCGCTTTTCATGGTTCCAATCATCCACCCACACCGGGTTCACTTCATCTTTCAGGGATTCAGCAGTTGTTTAAATTCAGCTGACTTGTGGCTGTATATCTAACATCAACAGCAACTTAAAATGGATGATGTTTCATGCAGAACAAAGTCTAAACAGTGCAAAGTAATTTCCATACCATGTGGATAGTAAAAAGTGAATGATGATATCGACTATACCTCTTTTCTTTTTTAGCCTTTTCCGTTTTCTGTCAATGTTAGCAACCTCAGCTTTAAGAGAACTATAAATTTTCCTCATTTCGTTAATTTTGTCTTGAAGGAGTCTAATACGTTCTCCACCATCTTCCTTTGCTTTAATTTGCTCTGAAAAATTAAGGAAAGAATAACTTTAAGACAGAGAGAAAACACCCAAAGTAAAGCACAATGGTGACTGACTTATCTTCTGTTCAAGTCTTACCTAAATCCATGTCAAAACATATTCTAGGGCGTCTGGGAGATGAAAATGAACCTTGTGAGTGGCTATATCCTGGGCTTCCAGGAGCATCACTTCCTGTGCTGTCATTACCAGATGCATGACGATTTTTCTTCCTCTCCTTCCTTTTTTTATGTTTCCTGTGATGTTGTTCAGAATTTTTCTTTTCAGATTTAATTTCTTTTTCCTTACTGTTAAGTTCATGAGCCTTTTCATTTGTATCTCTGTGTAGAGAATGATCAACTGGCCCATCAAATGTCCTAACATCATCAAAGTGACTGGACTCCGAAGAGGCAGATTCATTGGTGCACTCTTGCTTTATGTCCTCTGAGGAAGACTCCGAAACTGTTTCCATTGTAGTCGCAGTACCCTGTGTTTGAGGAGGAACATTTGGCATCTTTGCTAAAGTGTCAACCCTCAAGGTGTCTTCCACCTCTTTGCTTTGTGAGTTTTTCTCATTTTCTAGTTTTATCTTCTTAGCTTCAGTCACTGTTTCTGTTTCGTCTTTGGAGTCTTTGTTCACTCTTTCGAGAGATGAAACACCTTTTATTAAACCATTTATAGTTCTTTTATTTTTGTCTTTCCTTCTCCCATTAGAATTACTGGAGATGTGCTCAGATTCTTGTTCTGCATTAGACTGCATTTCACTTGGCACTCCATTTTCGAAACAAACGGTGTCCATTTTTGGATCAACCATAGATTCATTATTGGTAACAGCAGTATCCTTTTCCTCCAGAGATCTGTTTTCTGTTTCTTCGGGTATTGTTTCAGGGATTGGCTGAACTTGATTGGATACATCTGCAGTTTTGCTCTGTTGTTCTGTTTAAATAAAGCAAATGTATAAGTCAAATAGTTTACCTGGAATGCCTGATAAGCAAGACAATTATGAAAGCAACGAGAAAAATTACTCTCAAGGTTAGATTATTTCTACAGTAAGTGCAATTCTGAAGTTTATCCGCAAGGGAGTGTCTTGGCA